GAAACAAGCTTGTTCTCCAACTTAGCAGGAACCAAGAAGCAGAACAGTGATATAGACACAGCAGCTGGCCAAGCTGAAACTCAGATGAATAACTTGGCAGTATAGCCCTTTATCTACTGGATTTGCTATAATGAAATATTTAGCTGCACTGCAGTTTGAGGCCTCCAGTACACGGAGTGCTACAAACCAGTTTCCTCAATTGATGGCTGTTTTGTGTATGATTCCATACACTTCTCAGGTAAAAAGCTGTTTAACTCATTTGAAATTTCATGCAGAAAAAACATCTGTGTGTAAGGTCTGTTGTGTAGCACTGTCATTAAAAATAACTAGGACAGCCTGGGATATGAACTCCTATTAGATTTCAATCATCATAGATTTCAGTCTAAATCCTAGAGATGAATCTTGACCATTGATGAAAGGTATCTGATTTATCATCCTGTGGCTGATCAACATGTGCACATATATTTACTCTCACACTCCACTGCTCTTCATTTATCTGTGAGTCTCAGTGACATTTTTTTCTACCTATCAGTTTATGGCATCTGGTAAGGAAGTAGTCCACAGTGTTTTATAAACAAGCTAATAATTCTCACAGCATCTTTATGTGGCCAACAAGGTGTGCCAATACTTTGTGCCCATCTTTAACAAAAAATGAACTGTGTAAAGAAATTTGAAAATTTCTTAGATCACATAAGTTAATATAACAGCTAAATCCACAATTTAGAACACCTGACTTTTTATTCTTTGGTCATAGTCACTTTTTACTACATATAATAAAGAATAAACTACTATGTTTTGGGGGCAGATTGTAGGTAAGTGCAATTGTTTGGTTTTTTAAAGGAAAAATTACAGAAAGGACAAACACTTTGAAGTGTTGCTGGTAGGAGGACTGTTGAGTTACTTGCACTAAATGGAATAATTAATGTAACTACATAATTACAAAAATGTAGTTACGTATTTTCTTGGTAATGTATGCAGTATTGAAAGGTGTCCCAGTACAGGTGTTATGGTGCAATATAGAATACAGCTGTCTAATATACACATAATGGGAATAAAGACATGTACTCCGAATTATTTAGACAAGCTGGTATCATATTGTGCTGTCCTTGATCATATCTGAGACTTCCATCTAGTGTGCTGTGTTAACAAAGTGACTTTAATAAGCATATTGCAGCAGAATATGTTGGTTACTGGACAGTGCTGCAGAAGGGAAGGCAACCTCTAGTAGCATTAATTTCAGCTGCAGATTTTTTGCTCCCATTGGATGTGATAATATTGCCCATCATCCTGCTGTGCATCTTTCTGCAGAGTTTATAACTAAGTTCTTGCTTATCTGGAAAAATACCTACTCCTTCCACATGATCCTCCTTTTCACCTCTTCAATTCTCTCAGGATCCTTTCAGAAGCAAACACAGCACATTTTTGTCAGTTCTCAGACAATACAGATAAGGATTTTACTTTTCCACCCATTCCTCTCTTTCTTTATCTCCTTCCATCTCCAGGTTTTCTTTTCATCCTTGGTGCAAGACAAAGGATCAACTTGCCAAGATTAGTAGCTGATACCCAAGAGCCTGGATTTGGGCTCACAAAGTGGTCAGAGGGGAGTGTAATGTTAGTAAGTCAGAGTGGATCTGTTACCTCTAGTGTCCCAAGTACTGCTTCACTGTCTAGATAAGGAGCTAGAGACTAGAGGAAAAACCTGTGTTACTGCTGATGTGTTGCAGGTGATTATTTAGTAGTTGTTGAAAATGTGTTCATTTTATTCTGAGTGTTTAATTAGAGTGGTAGTACAGTAAGTACAGGATTATCTCTCCCAGTGGCTCAGATATTGTGGCAGCATTCCTGAAAAAATACCACAGATTTCTGTAAGAAGAGATTGGATCTTAAGTGGTGAATTTATTTTTATTTGCTTTCATCAGCGATACTGCTTAATTCAAGATGCTAAACTGAGTGCTTCACACAGCCAGGTGCACATTCACCCTCCTTGAGATGCATTTAAGGAGGGAAGAATACCTTCCATGAAATTGTGTTGTGTTCTTCAGCTATCAAAATCTTCCAGGGACTTGGAAAACAAACAGTCCAGAAATTATTTTCAAAAGCAGAAGCTAACATTTAGTTTCAAGTTGCAAAGATCTGAGAAATGCTAACAAAAGTTTTCAGAAAGGTAGAGCACTTGCAGCTTAAAGTAATTTTCCCCTGTGAGATTAAGTCCAGCTGCTTCAAGTCGGATACCCAAGAATCAAAGTTTCCACCATTAATTTAGAAAAACTGGGATTTATTCACTGGAGAGCTTTGGAAAGTCCCAGCAAGTGTGTTTACAGATTTAAGTGCTTTTCTGAATATTTGAATCTGAGATTTATTTGCATATACATCTTATAGATGCTTTTTTCTCCATGTAATCTATTTTTGTGCTGCTATTTCCAGTCCATATTATTTGTGTAGTTGATTAAAATGCTTCCATTGAATACTTGAAGGAGTGAAATTGATGGAAAGTGGTCTAACTTGTTTTCCCTTCCTTTCTTCCTCAGTCTCTACAAGTATAATTTCTCCGTATATTCTGACTCATAATCTTAGGAATTTTTCCCCATTTTGGACTTTTAATGTGAAATAATTTCTTTATTTTGAGAATTTATTTGCTTTCATCATTTTTTCTCTATTTTTGTGTATTTTTCACTCAGCTTCTGCTCTGTAGGTGCTTAGACATAGCCTTAGCTCCACATGAACACCTTGCCTGCACATCAAACCACTGAACCCTCTTAGCATTGCTGAGCAATTCATGAGATCCTTTTTGCACCTTTAATGGAGAATTCCAGTCCTGTCCTTAGTTTGCCAGACATAACAGATTAGAAAGAAATCTGCTTTTTTATTAAGGCTTATTTCCCTAATACACAACATACAAGTAATTTGCACATGTGATTGTTTTTAGTATCAAAAGCACTCTTTTGGCCTTGCTTTCTTCCTGAATTCTGCAAGAGTGTACTAACTCATCTCTAATGCTGCTTTTTTTTACTTGACTTCTGTGTAAGTCCCCAGAGATGAATTTGGTCCAGTTAATAAAATATAAACAGAAATCTGCAGAAGCTTCATTTACAATTCTGTGGCATATAATGTTTTAGACATAGAGACAGTTGAGTATAAACAATGGTAACTTTATGTACAGGAGTTGCTGATTTCAAGTTTGAATTTGATATAATGGTTAGGACTGCAGTAAGCACTGGTGAAGTTGAACAGTGCTGGCTCTACCTCTGTTTTGATATGATGAGAGTGCCCTCTTGAACTGTAAAGTGGGGTGTTACTGTGACAAATATAGCTACCACTGGCAGAACAGATTGCACAAAGCTGAGACTGAAGAGTTCTATCTGACAGAAGCATTAATGTGATGGGGTTTTTCCAAACTGGAAAGCATTTTCTGGCGTTCACACCATAAACAGGAGACAGTGTAAAAACACAGCTGTACAGGAAGGTTATTAAGCATTCAACTTCTGTAAGAGGGCAAAAATTAAAAGGCAGAAGTACTATGAAACACCCCTACAGTATTAAGTCCAGTGTATCAGAAATCACCGGCTGATTTTTGATCGATGGTGTTACACACATTGGGTGTGTATCATTACCACTAAATGTTGTATTCCGGATTTGTTGTCTGTACATATTTCATACTAGTACTACTTGAACTGGATTTAAGTTGCTGGAGAGGGCTGCGCAGATGTGGTTGTTCATTAAAAAGCTGAGACCAGTATCTGCGGTGCCTGGGGCCGGTGGGGGTCCCGGTGCCGCTTTCCCGGGACGTGCCCCGAGCCCGCCGTGCTGGCCGGGCTGAACGCGCCATCTGCTGACTAGCGGGGATGGCTGTTTAAAACAAGGAGAAAGGAACAGAAAACCCGCGGAGTTTTGAATTCATTTCTGCATCAGCAGGGAAAGTGGATGAAGTTTGACAAATCCTTATATTGCCTTATTTTTCTCCCCCTAGTTAGCAGCGATTCCTAGATCATTATTTTTTTAAAATGCCATTGTTTCTATTGTTTGTTCTCCACTCTGCTCTCAGGCTGTTTGCTAGAATAGATTGAATCACCTGCTGTGGCACAGGATTTGAGCAGAAAGTTAGTGCTGTAGTCACAAGGCTTCAGAATTTATTGCAACATCAGTTTATTGCCTGCATCTGAAATGCTGATTTTCAAAAATTTGTTTCAAATGTGTAGACCTGCCTGAATGTCTTAGGGTCATAGAGTGATTTGGATTGCAAGGGATCTTTAAATGTCATTTAGCCCAACCCACCTGCAATGAGCAGGGACATCTTCATCTAGATCAGATTGCTTAGAGGCCTGTCCAACCTGACCTTGAATGTTTGCAGGGATGAGGAGTCTACAACCTCCCTGAGCAATCTGAGAGTGTTTTACCACTCTCATTGTAAAAATCCTCTTCTTTAGATCTAGTCTCAATCTACCCTCTTTTAGCTTAAAACCATTAGCCATTGTTTTAGCTCAGGAGGCCCTACTAAAAAGCTTGTCTCTGTGTTTTTATAAGCCCCCTTAAAGTACCAAAAGGCTGCAATAAGGTCTCCCATCCCTCACAGTCCCATTGTTCACCTGTCCTAGCTGCCCAAGCCTCACTCTTGGCTGTACATAAGTGTATGCAAATCAGATTTAGTGCAAAACGATGGCTAATATGGGGGCCAGTAATTTTTGTTATGAATCAGGGGAGGACTTATTTGAGTCAACAAACACCTGCTAGCTGTATAGATGAAGAGAAGAAATGCACACTGAGGACCTTTGTTTTCTGTATGCAATGTTTACAAATCAAGTTAAATATTGAAAGTGACATTTTGAGGTTGTTTCTCTCTGGAGACACCTGTGTGATTCAGTCCAAGTCACTGTTACTTTGAAAACCAACTGTCCATGTGGATCCCATCTAATGAAGTACTTGTCATTTTGATTTAAAAATAACCTCTTTGAGATTGTTGGCTTAAGGAAAGTGTTATTCTTTTTCTGTCCCTTTTTTCCTAGGATATTAAATACAACATTGTTTGAACTATATGAAGCTCTGGGCAATTTTCCTGCCTTGTGGGTCTTCAATGTGCTGCTTATAGTTCTTCAAATTCTGCACTGTTTTTGGTCATACCTAATCATAAAGGCAGCCTACAAAGCTATTTCAAAGGGCAAGGTAAGACAGCACGGGGTAAGACATCTGTTTAATGATTTTAAGTTTTCCATTATCAATAGCAGTCACTTTTTGTTTGGTTGGTTTTTTTTTGGTTTGGTTTCTTTTTTTTTTTTTTTTCCTAATCCATAACATGCTACTGAAGACACATCTTGTTTTAGATAAACTCTTCTTTCCTTTCCTGGAAACTTTTTCCCACTACTAATGACTGTCAGATAAGTTAATAATACTCTGTATAGTGATTGTCTTTATATGTGTTTCTGCACTTCTTTACAACGTGGTACACTGAACTAAACTATATAAGGGAAATCATGTTAAATAAACCCAACAAGTAAACTGCTTTCTTGGGGCTACCAGTTTTGACTTTCTTCTTTATAGCAGCTGTTGGCAAAATGTTCATTTCACAGCTGGAAGTGATAGCAATAATAAAATGAAATTCTGCTGTGTTTGCTAGTGGCAAAGTGGCAGATCACAGCCTCTTCTGGGTTTGTGTATTAATGAGGTATTGCAAAGAGCTATGTATTTTCTTTCTGTGTATTTTCTTTCTGTTTGTTTGGGCTAGAACTTAGTGTCTTGCTACCAGTGGTACATTGGCAGGAAGATGTCACTCCCAAAATTACCAGCCCCAATACACTTGCAGTGCAGACACAGGGCTTATGTCCAAATGGTAGAGCTAATCCTTACAGATCATGTAAAGTCAGGACACTTTGCCCTTAAAGAGCAGCACACACTGATGTGACTGACCCCAAAGTGAATGGGAATGTTCTCCAGAAAATTGCTATCTATGAATGTGCTGGAGAGCTCAGCCATTGCACTGGCAGAGCCCAGAATCTGCCGCTCCATCTGTGAAAGAAAGATTCATGAGCTGTATTTTGCCTGGAAGCAGCTCTTTAGTCTCCTCTGCTTTTAGCAATTATTAGCCTCAGCTGTCTTGCCTGAATCATACCAGTAACTTCGAAGACTGCTTCCTGCTCTCTCTTACTCTGCTTGTTCATCCTTTCCCTTGTGCTGTGCTGGAAGGCTGGGAAGTGGAACCCCTTGCAAGTAAGTTTCTTTAAATTTACTATGCAAAAGATTTATTCTGACAGCACTGGTGTTTGTGGTTTGGGTTGTTTTGGTTCTTTTACTGTGTAGTTTTTGCTTGATATTTATCCATTGTTTGTATTTATATATTTAAGTAAAGAGTATCTTGAAAGGCCATTTTTTTTACTTCTTGGCTATGGGTCATCTAAAACCAGTCAAACCCACTAAACCCACTTCTATCTGTAGTATTTGTGTACTATTCTGTTTCACCTTTTTTACATAGAGATGGATGGATGGATGAATAGATGTGTGTGTGTATACACATACTTATCTATCTATATATATATATCTCAATAGGATAAGCATCTGCTCTGTCAGCATTCAAGACACACACTTGACATTGTCAATCCTTCACTTTGTAGTTCTAACAATTGCACAGGAGAAAATTGAGACGGTGCAGAGTTAAAGCAGAGTTAGATGCTTGCACTAACACAGTGTCCAGGTTAGAGATGGATATGTATGACATATATACAGAGGATTAATTTTCTTTCAGATCTTAAGTTTCTCACTTGCAATGCCATTCTATTTCTGCAATAAAAATCAGAACTATTTTCACAACACATTACAGATATCTTGCAGGTAAGTACTAAGTACTGCAAGATATGCTGCATTCATATCAGGTTTTAAGTACAAAGACCCTGCTTCATTGCTGCATTTTAAAAACAAAGGGAGCAGATCCCATGTTTAGCAGAACTGGCTACAGCATAGAATCTTATTTTGATTTTTGGCTTTGGGGTAGGACCCTAACAGAAAAATTGGCAGTGAATCTATTAAGAGAATTTAAGTTGATGCAGAATTGTTCAGTTATCTGGTCTGCCATCACATAGATCACACGTGCTCAGTACTGTGTGCTGAGACAATTCTTTTCTGTCTGATAAGGGTATAATTCTAAGTGTATTTCTGCACCACCACCAGCTGCAATATAAAAGTTCTTTTATATGAAAGACATTGAAGCAACCTAATAATTGAAGCTCTGTAAAGTATGGAACCAAATTTCTGACCTCAGATGAAGTCCAGTTTCACAGGTGTCAGAACTGTGGGCTTGCTAGACATTGGCATTAAAAACTTTACTTACTGGGAGCTGTATGGGAACTGTTTTCTTTTTTCACTAGTTCCAAGCAGAATAGTGTCACTCAGGTACTGTGATATTGCAAGAGCAACACTGGGAGCTCCAAAGGCAAATAGCTCTTTCTGAAATGAGAGTGGAATTGTCATGAAGATTTTCCAGAGGAGAGGAGGATTACTGTAAGCAAAAAATTACACACAGTGGCCCTGTTCTTGAAGTGTGCTTAGTTCTTCAGGGAGAAGGCTCACCTTGAGTTTTGCCCCCTTTTATGTTCATTTGCTGTAGTAAAGTCAGCTGTAATTGCCTGATTGTGGCAACCAGTAGATTGATCGTGGATCGATTGTGAAGAAATTGGGATGCTCAGCTATACAAGCAGGAGTAGAAGCAGGCATGAAAATGGCATCCTTAGAGCTGCATGCAGATTAAACTTCAGACCTTTTCCTGTCGATGCTGGTTTTTTATACTACATCTAACGGGCTCTTGCTAGTTTTGGAGATTTTCAAGATTTTTTAAAGAAGTCAGCTGAAAATTAGCAGGAAATCCCTAGCAACTAAGGTCCATCTGTTTCTGAAACACCTTTCCAGTGACAAAATGGGGCTCACAGTTAAATGGTTTCCCTATGTTAGGAACTGAACTGGACTATGTCCACATTTTGCAAGTGCTGTTCTCACCACTTGTCTGAAGTTAGAGACTGGAGTAACCTGGTGTGGTGGATTTTATTTCAAGCAGTACTCATGTCTCATCCTGCAAGCACACAACACTTCCCTGGAGCCATGTGGTCTCCAGTGAGTTGAGAAGTAAGGGGCAGGAAACTGGGTTGAACATTTTGTATTACCAGGTCAAAGAGCAGCACTCCAAATGAAGGACAGGAAATAAAGAGTTAGTAGGAGGGCAGAGGGACTGAGCCTAGGTTGAATTTGGAAGCTTGGATTGTTGTTTACTTCGGTCTGTGCAAAACTCTTTTCCTTGAGCACTTGGCTATACTACCTTCAGTGCACCAGTGCTGAGTTCTCACCCTGCCTTTGCACATGGCATATGTATGTGCAGACATCTGTGTTTGAAATGAGTGCAGGCAGGCAAAGGCAAAGAAGTGTCACAGAGCTGAAATTGCCTTCAAAAGTCAAATTGAAAAAAAAGTGTGAATTCTCTGATTCTCTTGAACCAAAAAGCTGAGATGTTTCCTTACAGTCACCTACTGCCTACTTCTTTTCCACATTCTACAGGTAGCAAAGGATGCCCGAAGTGATGTTGAGTCAAGCTCAGATGAGGAAGAAACAGTACCTCGCTCAAAGGCCCCGCACAGCACTGTCGCCACGAATGGGACCAGCGGTGCCAATGGGACAAACGGGTATCTTACTGGTGCCACTTCCTCAGAGGAGCATTAATCCTTCACTTCAGTCATGAGACATGAACAGAATGAACTGTTTGCTACTGGAAGTAAATTATAAGTTGTGAATACAGTTTATTCATGTATTTCAGCATCAGAAAAAATTAGGAGTATCAAAGCATTCTGATAGCGCACTGCCATATTTCCTGTTTGTGAATGAAGACAGCACACCACTCTGTATACGTAGGCATGCTGTATGTGTATGTAACTGACACAATGGGAGCAGTATTTTCACTTGTATTGTCTGAAATATTATTTATTTTTTATTCTTTTGGGAACTTCTGGACAAAAGGGAATATCCATTCTCAAAGTTTGTGTCTTGGATTCTCGGTAATGGGGAGAGCATTATGCTCATATCTCTTCTGTCCATTCCTTTTGGTTTTGCTGAATCTGCTATAAGTAATAGTTGCTTGATTTGTTACTTACAGTAAGATAGAATATAGCTTTATAGATTTTAGATCTGCTTCAGATATTTTTGCTATCTTTGTCTTTTAAAGTACTGGTTTTGAAATCAAATCACAGTTACTGTTCTTCCAACAATTTGGGAAAAAATGTGGTAATTGTGGGATATTATTTTACGTAATTTAAAATTCAATTTGGTGGTTAATCGCATTAGAAGTAGACTTGATTTGTTGTGCAAATACCCAAAAGCATTGTTGTCAGCACTTAGGATAAATCCATTATTACTTTTTTTTGGCCTTTCAATTTTTGACCTTAACAGATTTTAGCTTTTTGCAGAGATTCCATGTTTCTTCAAATGCACCATTCTGAATCCAGACTTATCTCCTGAAATTGTTCTTGCATGTTCACTCGATTGAGAGCAGGGATGTAATGGAAAAAACAGCAGATTAAAAGTTCATTTCTTCCTCAGACTCAGCTCAGTCTAGGTATTGTTCTTAAAATTATTGCCACTTCCTTGGCAGGGTAAAGAGAGAGAAGGCAGAATATCATACATTACTAAAATTAGTTTATTTCATGTGTGTGAGAACTTGAGCAAAATTCACTTATTATAATTCCTTTGAATGCTCAGCAGTATTTCATCACCTCTACAAATAAAATTAGGGGGTGTCTGTAAAATAATTTTGCATTCCTTTTTCATCCAAGATTTACAAATAGTGTCCCAAAGAAGACATAATAACACCCTAAGTAAACATATTTTTAAACATTTTATACATCCTTCTTCCAGTCTCTAGATCAAAGTTTGATGTAGGATGCTAAGAATCATACAGCTCTTGCTGGACACTCTTCTGTGATTTGTGACAGCAGTGCCAAAAGTAGGCAGGGCTCTTGGGTAACAGACTCTATGCAACCTGCTGTTCAACAGTATTGTGTGTGCACACAGAACCAATGTGCTTATAGACCAAAGATTTACATACACACACTCACTCACACACACACATATATATATAAAATTTAAAAAATAAAAGGAAGAAAAAATAAACAGGGGAAAAAAAATCTCAAGCATATCTTCTACCTACAAAGGGACAAAGGGATTGGAGTGCTGTGTTCAGCTGGAAACCTGAGCCATGGGGTAATTTCTGATTCCTTTCACTATGCAAATAGTAAAATATAGATGGTTTCTGATGCCATAAAACATGTTCAAAGACTCTATTTTATATAGACTTCATTGAAGAAAGTTGTGTTGTCACTTCTTTCTTTTGAAAACTGAGATTTGTCCCATTCTACTGGTCACTATTGAAAACTTCTAAAACTTTTTTTATCCATAGAAACCTCTTGTGTGTTAGGAAAAAGGAGGTGTGCTAAAAGCAAGGTTGAAATGGCATGAATGGAAATAGTACCTCAACTTAGTAAAGAATAAAGGTAAGAAAACTCAGAAATTGTAAATCACAAAAGATCTGTCAGTTCTGCTACCCACAGAGCATCTTTTGAAAAAGCCAGATAACCTTGTAATCCAGCAGCTGCATAGCTTATATGTCCATGAGTATATCTGGGGGAGCAAGGGAGCCTTACTTAAATCTTCTTCTCCCCAGAAAGTTTTTCTGCCTCTGATTTTTTTTCATCTGTCTCCCATGCATTTGATTTCATATCAGTTTCCTGCAGGACAGGTTATACATGTGAAACTATGCTGATTGCAATATAAAGTATCCTATCTATGGTGTTTGCAGCTGTGTAGTAATTACTGCAAAGATGATGCCAAGATTTTAAAATAAAACCATCCTGGGGTCAATTAAATTAAGATTATACTTTATGAAATCTGACCTGCTAAAATAGAAATGGAGAATATAAATTTAAACACACCTCTTTCATGGTGTTGGTTACCACCTCCATTGAACCATTTCCCTTCTGCAAAGATGGTTACACAAATGGCATTCTGGCAAAATATTTTGTCTTACATGAGAACAGAATGTTGCTCTGAACTGTCAACATGCACAACATAGACCACATGCTGCAATGTTGGTAATACCAGGGCATAAAGCAGTCCCCAGCAACAATCCTGGTGCCAGAGGTCTTTAGTCCCTGTTGGTCCTCTTTAGCAATGTTCTGTAATGTTCATTCAGATGTAGAGTCAAGGCTACAACCCTTGAGATGATTTACCATCACTACATATGCTGTTAGGGTATCACAGAATCATGGAATGTTAAGGGTTTGAGGGGACCTTGCAGATCATCTAGTCCCAACTCCCTGCCATGAGCAGGGACACTTCACAGTAGACCAGGTTGCTCAAGACCTTGAACACTGCCAAGACTGGGGCATCCACGGCTTCCCTGGGCAAGTTGTTCAGTATTTTACCACCCCTGAAGTAAAGAATTTCTTTCTAAAGCTAACCTAAACTTTTCTCCTTTTTGCTCCAATCCTCTTACCAACTTCATGGCCCTTCTCTGGACATGCTCCAACAGTTATATGTCCTTCTTATGTTGGGGACACCAGAGCTGGCTGCAGTACTCTGGATGGAGTCTCACGAGAGCAGAGGGACAGAATCCCCTCCCCTGCCCTGCTGCCCACACTCCTGTGGATGCAGCCCAGGATACTTTTGGCTTTCTGGGCTGCGAGTGCACACTGATGGCTCATGTTGAGTTTTTCACCAACCATCACTCCCAAGTCTCTCCACAGGGTTGCTCTCAGCCACGTCTCCACCAAGGAGTGCCTGGGATTGCCACAGCCCAGGAGTAGGACTTTGCACCTGGCTTGCTTGAGCTTCATGAGGTTTCCTTCATTCTCTCTCTCAAGCCTATCAGGGTCCCTTGTTCCCCACTGTTAAATGGTGCATCTGGGATTGAAACTCTTCCTTTGAGGTTTAAATTCAGTTACATCTGTGTGATATGCTAAAGCATGGATGCAGTTACCTTGGTTCAGCTAAAACCCAGTGACATGCTTATCCCCTATAATCCTGGCTTTTTGGAGTCTGTTCTTAGCAGTCTAGGATAAACTTCATACAGGTATGTCTGGAAAGTGAGGTAAGACACAAATGATAAATTTGGGGAAACAGGATAAGAGGAAGCCTTAAGAACTTTCCCAACCTTTGCTAAACAATGACTGATCTTTCAAGCTAGAGGTTTATTATAAAAATTACAAATTCACACTTTTTTTTTGTCTCTAGGAGGAAGGACCAAGTGATTAGACATGGCAGTGTGCTTTAATTCATCGTTTCAACTAATGGGTGTGAAAACTTTGGCTTTATCTTCCACTCTGCAGAGAAAATGCCATGCAATTGTTTCCTTTTTCATTTGAATTTGATTGCTTTTCTGGTTAAGAGCTTTGCAAGGTGCATTTGGAGGTCATTGAGTATTTAGAGGCTAATTGCACATATTTTAGAAGATTGACTGAAATTATTCTCATGGTTCATGGTAAATGTGAGGCTTTAAAAGGTTCTGTATATTCACACCTTTTGTAGAATTGTAATTTAGTAATTCTAGAAATGAGAGTTTGTATAACCTCTCTGTCTTTGAGTTCTATGCTCCTTGTTTATAGTACAGTACATGACACAGTGGTTGAGATGTCAGAGTAGAAAACTGAGGAAATTAGAGTTTATTAGTAAATAGTAAGAATTTGTCTTCTCTCCTAGACAGCCCAGATTACAGTAAAACAAGATTCAGGTTACCCTTTGTGTACTGTTCCCATATTGGCATATTTTGTATCAAAAGAAAAATACATGGTGGGTTTATGGTTTTGTTTGGTGGTTTTTCATAAAGAAGAACATTGCAGAGAATGGTAAAAATACCTGATCAAAAAACAAGAGTGCCAATGCCCAGTGCTTTTTCTGAGACCCGAGTACATGCACTAAAGCTTTGCTTACAGTGGAATGATTCTTGTCTTAAATCTGTATCCGATTCAGGTGAAAATCACTTCCTGCTTCTGAACAGGACATGAGGGTGAAAGCTGTGACCCTGCAGCACACACCCCTGGTGATCCATGCTGGTTGATTGAGACACTCTGTGTTTTACACAGAGTGCTCTAGTAGGAAGCCTAATGCCCATTTCATTCATTTTCTCATTACCACAGCCTTCTGTATCTCAGAGAAATATGGGCTACTATTGGTTTTATACAGCTGATGCTTTGGTATTTTCTTAATCTCTTTGCTACAACTCATTTTTGTACGTCTCCTATTGTCTACTTCCTGTGAGATATGTGGGAGAGGAGTATTAAATACTTTTTACCCTTCTAGTAATGTGGACCCTCTTAGGCCTAACTTCAGTGTTCTGCAAACTACAGTTGCCTTTAAACCATGAAGCAAAACCAGTTTGTATTATTTGTTTTGACTGGTTTTGATTTGGAACAGAGACCTAATGGGAACTTCAGTAAGACATTATTCTTTTTTTCCCTTTTCTTTTAAAAAGCTCTAGTGGAGGTTTGCAAAGGTGATGTACATGTACCGCCTTTACACTGTAAAGATTTCTGATTGTAGTTGCAATGAAAACACAGTGTTTGAGTGTGTCTCTACAGACTTCTCTATCTTTGAAATTGCTTTCAATTAAAAAACTGGAGGAAATACCATGAAAGGATGTTTTGGAGTCATGTCAATGGTCACATGTGTCAGACAAAAGGCAAAAAATATTGTCTTACATGACTTAAAAGAGGTGCAACAAAACACATTTTCTGGCTTCTGCTGAGCTTCAGCTTTTTGCTGTTCTGGGGTTTACCTTTACACAAGCTCTCATACCATACTGTGCATGTCGACTGCTGCAAGTCAGGGTGAGGCAAATGACACATTTTCACCTGTGTTTTCATGAAAATCCTGTGCTTGAGCAACTCTTTCAGAAATGTGGTGATGTGTAGGAACTCTACTGTTCTGGATACAGTGATGCACTAGCTAGAAGTCCTTTCATGTATAGCTATTGTGTGGAACTTTGGGAGTTATTTTGTCTTTTATTTGACTGGGTTTGGGGTTTTTTCTAATATGGAGAATAATTATTCCTCATAAAATCTCTGGAACCAACCAGTATTGTGGGCTATTTTAATTTGGAGACAGTTTCATAATAAACATAAGTATTAGAAATGTAGATTTTGTTTTCTTATTTCTTCTGTGAGATGCAGACAATGTTTTCCTTTGTTTTAGCTCAAAGATTGATACCCACGCTGTAGACTCCAACACTCTTTGGACAGATCCAAGTATGTCTTTGCTGTGTTCATCACTGCAGTACTTTATGTTATTTCTTGTATGAAACTGTTTGTAACAGGAAGTGGTGGAAGATTAAGTTCTCTCTATACAAACGAAATATTTTCATTACCAAAAAAAGGATATATTTTTCAAGGATTTAAACATCAAAATTTTTCATGGTAATAACTCCTGAATGTCCAGCCAGGCCCACTTTGGAAAAGATGTCTTTTTTCAGTCCAGATGAGCAGAGTTTCTATAGAAATACACATTCAGATGTTTTCTTTTAGGCAAAACTGTCACTCAGCAAAGCACCACCTACTAACCTCTTGTGGAAGTGAGAGAAAAGAGCCACGCTTGGGAGTGGCTCTCCTAAGGAAAAGCTGCAGCTCACCAGAGTAAAGCCTACAAAACACCATTATCAGGCAGGCTCTGGTGCACCATTAAAAGATGACGAGGAAGTATTTAGAAATGGGATGCCTGAAAAAATTCTGGTAACTTCAGCAGGAAATTTAGGCAACAGTTCTGATAACACAAGTATCAGTCATATAGGGATCTTCACACATGAGTTGAAGTTTTACCACTGAAGAGAAGTAAACCTGGGGATTTGCATTGTGTTAAAAAACTGTAGATCTTTAGCAATTGTAGTTGTTAATATGGCTCTGTGATAATATATAGACTCTTGTGTTACATTTAATATAGCATTTCAGTTCATGTTTATTGAAGGTATTTCTGAAGAGATTTACTTATGTGGAATATTGTCCAGTGATATGTGTAATGTCTTTTGCTCCCTATGCCACATTAACTTATGTAGCACAAGGGAGAGCCAATGTGTGCAGAACACAGCTCAGGATAACAAGATAAAGAGCAAGACCTTTATGTTCTGGCTCTAAGTCTGTAAAGGACCCTTTGTACAGGGAAACAGTGGCTCTCAGAGGACAGCAGGAGGTCTGCTGCTTCAGGAGAGTTAGAAGGCAGTGACACAATTTCCTGTAGATGTAGAAGGTGAGTGAAGGGAATCCAAATGTGTAGCTGTACCAGATGAGCAAATTTCTGCGTGACTCAGTAGCTCATCATGCTGTGATGGACAGAGTTTGGGAGCTTATGTGGAGGGAAGCTAGTCCCAGCTCTGCTAGTGTGAGTGGAGGGTTCTTGTTTCCCTAAGTTGTGCTGGGATTTTTGGTCTTTTTGGTGATTCATTCTGCTGCAGCTAGTCCTGGACAGATTTTACACTGTCTACTCTAGTCAGCCAGTAGCCTTCTTACACGGCTTAAGTGGGTTTCACAGAAGAGGATGACAGTTTGTCTTTTATGCCCAGCTTCTCCAGCACCAAGTCTGCCAAACCAGTGATGATTCTTGTAGAGGGATTTCTTAAATGCAGAGTTGTGTGCAACACTGACATGTTCCTAAGGTTCTGACTTTCAAAGGTAATTGTTTACATGTAAACTGTTAGCTTTTAGTCTCAAAGTGCAATATAAAAATAAGTATTAGAAGTTGAGTATTGTAGGTTTTGTAAGAGCAACATGACCTACTTGTAATGTTACTGCGATAGTTCGGTGACCAGATGAAAAGGTAATGTACTCTTTTAAGCTACTGGCTGGCAACATATATTTACATTCCTGAATTAATGCTCTTTTGTAGACATCTGAAAAACACCATAGTGGGTGGGTTTTTTTATACTTTTTAAACACTTCGAAGTGTAAGGTACTCTTCCCTAGAAAATACTGTGCAGGATATTTCTTAATTTTTTAGAACAACCAAGCAAAAGTCCCTGCACAACTGCCACATTTCTTGCATATTTACAACAACTTTTTGCAATCTCCCCTCACAAAATCCTGAAATCCAAAAATGAAATGTGATCCTTTCTTAATTAAACTTGTGTCAGCTTTCTCACATTAATCTAACTAGCACTTTTATGTCCTGTTTCTGAGCCTATCATGAAGATAACCTCACCTTTTAATTCCCAGTAATGGTAATTTTAATTACTCTTGGTCCCCTAAGGTATCTTTGAAAGAGCTGCTTCCCATCAGAAAGGCTTGCTTTTTCATAGTTACTTTTGCTTATTCCATTTAGGCTTAATTTAAACTTAAATCATCCGAAGCATTTAGGTGTTCCTGGTTCTCATTTTTATATGTGGTTTCTCATGGAACTATCTCCCAAGTGAGATCACTGCCCATAGCTGTTACTTTATGGGACAGTCTAATCATATTTCAGTTCCAGAAAAGGATTTGCATGTAAATAGTCTAGCTCAGTTACAGGTCCAACATTTGGTCCTTCAGCAACGCTGAGGAAGTGATGACCCAAGTTGTGGCACCCCCTGGACAAGTTGTGGATGTAAACAACAGCCAGGACTGCTGTCCAGACTAGAAGCAGGTGCCTTTTCACATTATTTTTGTAAATAACTGTTTCACTTTAATACCAATTTCCTACTAACTTAATCTCATTTTTTCTAAGGCTTTTTGTTAAGGAGCATGTGAACCATTGAGATTACATCCATTATAGTTGAGCTGTGATGGTCTGCCCTACTTTTGCAACTTGTCCAAGCATCCAGCAAAAACACAGCTGTTTTACATAGAAGAACTCCCCTATAAGATTTGACAGGTAACTATTATAGACTGCTAACTGTATTATTTGGGAGAAGAATGGGTTGCTAATAGCAAAGGGAAATAGCAGGAGCAGTTGGGAACAGTAAACCATCTTATGTAAATTGTATTCACATTGACTGTGGATTTCATATTTTGTTTCAATGGATGCCATTAACACAAGATTTAGTAAAGGTGAACCCTATTTTACTACTGTCCCAAGCAGACTGTCAGAACTGTGGACTAACCTTAGAGAAGGTTGGAGCCTAAAAGGATGGGTAATTGCTGCAGAGTTGCAGTTGACAGCATTGAGAATTGCATGCCAGAAGAGGATTTTCCTCTTTCCTTTAGAAACATGAGTTTATCGGATGGCTTATTACCTTTGCAATAAGTGTAGGAAAATACAGGCCAGTAAGTCATGCTGATACAATACTAAAAAAATAAAATTACCGATTTGCTGTGTTGTCTTTCCATTATGAGGTTGTATCATACATGGAGTTAAACAAGCAAAATTCTTTCATTAGCTTTGCATGGGAAGATAAGTATTAGTTGTTTGCCTATGAGGTAAGCATTTACATTAATGTATTGTGCTGTAACTTAGCTAGTTAACCACCCGTTAGGTCACCTGTCACTTCGACCTATTGCTACCTTAGCCAAAAGGTTCAAGGTATGCTGTCTTCTCTGAAAAGCCTGGATTTCTTTGTAGTAGTTGCAATTGCTATCAGTATGAAGTGTAGCATGCTTCTAAATCAAAATAGTGATACACAGCTGGTGTTCTAACAGACCTGTTTCTCTGCCCAGCCAGTTATTCCAGCTGAAGCTGTGGTGTAGAAGATAATGGATAATGAAGAACTGAGGCCACGATCCAGTAGCCAGTGCAAAATAATCCATTGAGGCAAGTCAGTCAAAGAGCATGTTTCCACATAGAGTTATCCATCAGTCACAAAACAGGTGAGTCAGTAGCAATTTGCATTGTTCAACATGCTGGGACTGAAGAGGAAGAAAATCACACTGAGGCTAATTGTATCTTATTTCAATTAATCCCTTCAGTGCATAACTACTTATATATATATCTATAAAAATGTCATATGAAAAACCACCACACACTTGCATGACTAAACACTATTTTTAGCTTCTGCCAGTCTCCCCAACAACTTTTGAATGTGTTGCTCACAATTAGTTCAAATTTGAAAAGAAGATTGTGTGGCAATTATCCCTGTCCATATAATGTACTTAGAGTCAGCAGTCAGGTACAGGGAGAGAACCACAGATAAATGCACTGGACCAAGAACAGGCAGGGTGCAACTGGTGTCCTGCAGCTTTAGCAGCAGCAAAGCAGGAGCCAAACTGGCATAACTCAGGAGTGGCTTTATGGCTCTGATCCTTAGACTATAAAGAAGAGCTGAATACCACAGTGAAGAGAATGGCACTGTTCAAGGACAAACCCACAGATCTGTAGGAAATCAGGCTTCATTGCCTCTGCTTCTGTTGCAACAACTTATTTATAAACTCAAGACTCTAAAGGGGTCTCTGTGTCTAGAGCTGTCAGAGTAATTAGGGATAATATGGATAAAAAGAACGTAGTGTCACTATCTGGCAGTCAGAGCCATTCCTCCCAACCCTTCAGGCATACAATGCTGTTTTAGCAGCAATGCCTCATATAACTGAATTGCAGCTATTGCTTTCAAAAAGGTAAGACTAATACCACAGTCATTTAGTATAACTTATTCACACAGTTAAAATACAGACTCTTACTTTGCCTGTGGGACTGATTTATGCATGCATATCTTTGTTATGTCAAGTTCCACAAGCCTTTTAAAAAGTTATAAATCACAAGTGAGTTCATGGCAATGTTACGGTATTACAATGACAAAACTAATTTAGACAATTTCAAGGTACTGAATAAATTCAGTTTAATTGACATATTAGAGAAGATAGTATGACACAAGCATAGCATAACTTTCATGTCTTTTTATTTTCACAAATGTAGCCAATACTTGTTTGTTTGCTTTTCAATATACATCTAACAAGATCCAAGAGTAACTACCTCCACTCTTGTTTGAATAGGTGTGTAAAAGAACTGTTCTGTTAGCAGGGCTCTCACAGTAATTTGATTTATATTAAAATCTGACCTCCAAGTAACATACAAACAATAATGATTTAATATTTAATACATATGCTATTAACATTTAATATTACTTTGTCTTCCCGGAAGTCTTTAAATTCATAGGGTGTTTCCAGTATCTCATAAATTCAACACTCTTCCCCAAGATTTTTACAAATGAGATAAATTTGATGAGGTGCTGAGCACCAGTACATCAGC